AATATATATATAAGTATGTATATAAGGGTTGGGATAGTGAAACAGTTTTAATTCAAAGTGAAGACACAAACGAAAATGTACAGCAAGTACAAGTTGACGTAGTTGAAGTTAGAAATTTTTTGAATGGTCGATATGTGGGATCGACTGAGGCTATGTGGCGGATATATGAATTTCCAATGCATTTTCAGTCTCATATCATAATTCGTCTTGACATTCATTTGCCACGAAGACAAAATATTATATTTCGCGAAAGCCAAGAACGGCAAGCGGTAGAAAATCCCACGCTTACGAAGCTATTAGCTTTCTTTCAATTGAATCAAAGTGATCCATCTGCTAATCAATATACGTATATAGAAATTCCATTGCATTAAGTTTGGATTGATAGTAGAAAATCTTGGCATAAAAGACAAGGAGGAGGAGATAAAATTATTACTCGGATGTATATGGTGTCTCCCAAAGAAATTGAGCTATTCCATTTAAGACTACTTTTGTTGCATGTAAAAGGGCCAAAATCATATGAAGATGTTTGTACATACAATGAAATTGTTTATAGCACATTTATCGAAGCATGGCATGCTAGGGGTATTTCGTCCAACGATAATGAGTGAAGAATTTGTCTGAATGAAGCTAAAACATTTAATTCAGTAAAACAAATGTGTAATTTGCTTGCGATTATTTGTGCCTTAAATTTTCCATTTCGGTGGAATTTAAAGTTAATTTAAGCGAAGATTTCGTTATAGATGGTTACAGTGTAGATGTTGCTTTCAATAGAGCATTATTGGAAATCAAGGATATTTTGTTAACACATAATGTTACATGTGTACGTCACTTGGTTTGCCTACACCTACAATAATGCTAGAATTTGCTGATCGCGATATTTTTAATCTATTTGAAGAAGTATATTTATTTAATGACCTTTACATATGATAGCCCAAATAATAAACAGCGTAATGCTATTAATAAAATTATTCGTGAAGTTCAGTATCACGATACAGGATCAAATGTGTTTTGTTTGACAGCCCATGCAGGTTGTGAGAAAACATGCACACAAACGGCTATAATTCGTAAATTTAATTCCCTTAATCTCCGATGTATTTTGTGTGCATTTAGTGGAATTGTTTCCACATTATTGTTTGGTGGAAAGACACTCCATAATGTCTTTAAACTGCCCATAAATCTGATGGAAAATATAGGCATTATTTATTATTGATGAAATTTTGATGTGTCCGTTACAAGTGATGAAAAGTATTGATACGCTGTTGAAAGACTTATGCGACGATTAAAAAAGAAAAAACAAATAATTTTTGCTGGAAAAACTGTATTATTATGTGGAGATTTTAGACAAATATTGCTCGTTATTCCTCATGCATCGCGATCAGTAATGATTGCAAATTGTATTACGAGTTGGCCAGATTTCCGATTATTCAATCATACATTGTGACCGAAAAGTTTCCGGTCATAAATAAATAAAACGCAAAATTCTTAATCTTCATCAATATTTATTTTATCTCCTTCAAAATATGCTCCATTAGAAGCGATACACAAATGCCAACGTTTCTTCCAATCATCAAAACATTTTTTATAGGCGCTTTCCGGTATGGCTTTGAGTTCCCTCTGCGAATTCTGTTTTACGTCTTCTATGGATTCAAAACGCGTTCCTCTGAGTGGTAATTTGAGGTTGGGAAACAGGAAAAAGTCACACGGTGCAAGATCAGGTGAATACGGTGGCTGTTCGATGGTATTTATTGAATGTTTGGCCTTAAAATCGTTGATAATGTTGAACAAATTGAGGTGAATCGGAACAAGCCGGGCGTTGACACGTCGCATACACAAATTGTCCACCAAAATCAAACGAGCCATCTCACGACCGATGCCTAGCTCTCGTGCTATCTCTCTAACACTCACATGAGGATTTTTGAACACGATTTCCTTTGCCTTTTCAATGTTTTCGTCGGTGGTAGAGGTCGAAGGTCGTCCAGAACGCGGCATGTCTTCGACGGTCGTACGACAGTCCTGAAAGGCTTTGTACCACTCATAAACTTGAGTTTTCGATAAAACTGATTCCCCATAAGCCTTTTGTAGCATTCGCAACGATTCTGCACACGAAATTTCGTTCGAAAAACAAAATTTGATGCAAACTCTTTGTTCAATATTTTTTTCCATTGTTTTTTTCGCAACGCACTACTGAGGTGAACTGGTTTCAACAGCTGCCGTAAACGAACTGTCTGACAGATCGCGCTCATTTTTGGCATAGTAATTAAGGACAGTGCTGCCAAACTACATAAACTTAAAATATCGAAAAATATACAGCGCGCGAATTTTAAATGAGAAACTCCGAAAACCTTTCGGTCACAATGTATAACGTTAACTCAAAATATGAGAACACTCCCCGAAAAGTTGAAATTCGTTGAATTACTAAAGAGAATAAGCAATGGTGAATCTAATGTCAGACAGTTTGGTGAAGATTTAGTTGTGATTTCAGCATATTTGATAGGTGTTTAATCTAACATAGTACAAGACATTTTTGGAGATATTAGTGAAACCATTTTATCAGATAGAATGTTAAAGTCAGTTGTGTTAGCTCCAACTAATGAAGATTGTGGACTTATCAACAACGATGTATTGAATTGCATCTCTGGTGAAAAAAGGTTTATCACAGTTTTGACACAATAATTTGCGAGGATAACAGCGAGGTAGGCAACTACCCAGTAGAATTTTTGAATACTCTGATTGTAAGTGGTTTGCCACCACATAAGTTGGAACTCAAAATTAATGCGATAGTTTTGTTGCTTCGAAATTTATATACGAAGCAAGCATTAATGAATAGGACGAAAATGCGAGTCAAAGCAATGCATAATAACAATAGATTGTGAAATGCTCACTAGAATTGCTCGCGGAAATCGTATTTTGATTCCATGCATACACTTGACGTATTCAGGGACTGGAATGCTATTTAATTTTCAAAGAACACAGTTTGCAGTCATCACCGCATTTGCTATGACAATTAACAAATCCCAAGGACAGACACATGATGGAGTTGGTATATTGTTGAGGAGACCTGTTTTTTTCGCATGGACAACTTCACGTTGCAGCCAGTAGAGTAAGTTCTCTTAAGGTTTAAATTTTGTAAGTAATGAAGGTGAAGGTCATTTGGCTAATGATGAAAGGGTGTTTACGAAAAATATTGTTTGCACTGAAGTTTTGAGAACTTTGTAATATAAAATATAGATTTGTTATTATATATCATTATTATTATAAGAACAAATGTACGCACCAGTAGATGAGATAATTTCTTTGTTCAAAAGATTTCAAAATGGAGCATCAGTTCGAGGCTTCATCGGTATTTCATTCAAACAATTCATCAATATTTTATACTAATTATTTTGACGTCCTTCCGCAGGTGCATACGTGGCCACATATAACGACAAATTCAAATTGGGCTATTTGATTCGATTGTTCATTCAAGAAAGGATTAAGCCAAAACTAGAAACAGTACAAATGATTTTGCACGAGAATTAATTGAAAGTTTTAATTTCTTTTTCAATTTCTTTTTGTAAATGGTTTTCTACAACTTTGTTTAGATTTTGTTCACATTTTGTTTAAATTCTTCAATTAAATTTAATTACTGTTTACATTGTTAATAAATTGTATTTTCTTTTGGTCGAATTTCGACCGCTGGCGACTCTAGTTATTTTAATTAATTGAAGTTTTGGTTGACCATACAGTTGTCTAAGAACGCGTGCGAGTTAGGCTAATTTGATGCTAAACCCAATAGGACCTTTCTTAGGATTTTTTACACTGCACACATTTAGCAACTTAGCCCAAAAAAGTGTGCGAGTTACAGCTTATATTAGCTGTAAATATGTTTTTATTTCAGTATTTTGTTTACATATTTTGCGATGGCGGAAAACGTAGAAATCGATTAAGCATTTTTATTTATGCAATTTTGCAAATTAATGGAATTATATAATCATAGTATTACTGTTATATCTGTATAATTTCGATATTTATTTATACAAAAAACTCCTAGTTATTATTATTTCACAAGTTCCAAATAACTGACAAAATTAAAATGTTAATTCTTCTTTATATGTCATCTGTCATCCTTGGCAGAGTTGCCAAGACCTCCCCTTTTGAGATTAAATCTCCAATGCGGTGATTCTAGGGTCTATAACGGTCAATAGGATGTCTTGTAAGCCTTGGTCGGGTATACGGAACAACTGCCTCATTGTGCTTCTCAGTTTGAGCGATTGCAATCTCGGTTACTTCGTTGAAAGATTGATCTGGAGTCGAAACCATGTTTTTGTTAGTTATTTCGACCACATCTTTAAGTGTTGTTTCGTAGAGGCCAAATGCATCAACTAAACACTTTTCGTTGGCGATATCTTCGGAAGTACATATTTCTAAAGATAACTCATTTTCTTGATCTTTTCGGTCACGAATTTGGTTGGCATGTGCACGAATAAGTTTGCCATTTTGTAAGCGAACATTATAAATGACGTTACCTATGCGTTCGATTATTTTTCCTTTTGCCCATTCAAAGTGTTTGTTTTTATATATATTGACATAAACGAGCTCTTGTTTTTCGTAAAACTTTGGCTTTGCACCGAGCCTTTTGTCAAACTGCGCTTTCATTTTGAGTTGTGTATCACACTTGTTTTTAAAAATGGCATTTGGGTCTGGTAAAGACATCAGCGTTGGTTTAATCAAGTCAAGTTTAATACGGATATTTCTTTTTAGTAAAACTTCAGCTGGCGATTTACTGTCCTCATTTTGCTAATTCGGAGTTGATCGGTAAACTTGTAGAAATGTTTGAAGATTTTCAGCAGTTACCCCCTTCCCATTTAACTTTTTGAGTGCTCGCTTTAAAGTATCCACAAACCTTTCGGCTTGTCCATTTGACATGGGATAGTACGGACTGCTTCGTATATGACTAATGCTGTTTTCCGCTAAAAACTGTTGGAATTGATGACTCACAAATTGAGTACCATTGTCTGAAACTATTGTCTTCGGTAACCCAAATCTAGCGAAACAATTTTCAAGCTGGAAATTGTTTGAGTTGCTGTTATAGATTTTGTTTGTATAATTTCTGGGCATTTTGAGAACGCATCGATTACGACCAAATAGTAGTATGAATCTATTGGTCCTGCATAATCAATATGGAGCCGTTCCCAAGAATCAGAAGGTTTTGGCCAAGGATGTAAAGTTGTTTTTGTGGGCATTTTAGCTGCTGCGGCACAATTTGAACAACTTTTCACCATTGCTTCAATATCGTAATCGATATTTGACCAATAAACGTAGTTCCGCGCGATGGCTTTAGTACGACTTATGCCTTGATGACCTCGGTGAATTTCTTTAAGAATGCGCTTTCGGAAAATTTGAGGTATAATAATGCGTTGTCCGAACATTAAACATCCGTCAACTATACATATGTCGTTTTTTCGGTTAAAGTAAGCTTTTAACTCACTGTTGTTGCAGTTTGATGGCCATCCTTCCGTTACATATTCGAGAATTTTAGCTAAAACCTTGTCCTTAGCTGTTTCGTAAGTAATTATTTTGCTGGTAAGCGGCAGCTTATCAAGTGAGTTATGTAAAATTTGTTTACTTTCAATTTCAAACTCTACTGCAGCGATGACATAGTCTTCTGAAGGATTGATTGTGTTATGTATGAGTCGTGATAAAACGTCTGCATACCCAAAACTGTTAGTTGAAATAAACTTTAATTCGAAGTCGTATGCAATCAGTTTAATTGCCCAACGTTGAAGTCTATTTGCTTGATGCACCTTAATTCCAGTTTTATCACCAAATATAGCTAGAAGAGGCTTATGATCTGTTTGAAGTTTGAATCTTCTCCCAAAAACCATTCTGTGAAATTTCGTAACCGCGAAAATAAGCGCAAGAGCTTCTTTTTCTATTTGGCTATATTGTCTTTTTGTGGGCGTCAGTGATCTGGACGCATGACATATTACTTTCATTGAACCGTCGTCAGCTTCATGAAAAATGCAAGCTCCGAGCCCATAGTTAGATGCATCTGCAGCGACTACTATGCTTTTCAGTGGATCGTAATGCGCTAATAATAACTCTGATGACAAAATTTGCTTGAAACCATCCAAACAGCGTTGATGAAGTTCCGTCCATTGCCACTGCTTGTGGTTTTGAAGTAGTTCGTCTAATGGTCCTCGGTATTTGCGCATGTGATTTATGAATTTTCCATAAAAATTGATAGCACCTAAGAGTGATCTAAGTTCGAATTGATTGGTTGGCGCAGGCATTGTCTTGATTGCTTCAATGTTTTTTGGATCTGGGCGAATGCCGTCTTTACTGACAATATATCCCAAGTAAGCAATTTCAGGAGCTGAAAAATTGCATTTTGCGATCTTGAGTTTAAACCCGTATTGATAAATACGTTGTTGAACTTCCTGTAAGTTGTTGTCATGCTCTTGTTGGTTTCTACCTGAGACAAAGATATCGTCAATGTAAGCAGCTGCGCAATGTAAGCCCGCAAGCATTTTATCCATAATTTGTTGGAAAATTGCCGGAAAAGTTTTGACGTCAAATACCATACGCTTGTATTTGAATAAACCTAGATGCGTGTTTATTGTGAGAAGTTCTTGCGATTTGCTATCAACTTCTATTTGGAGAAAAGCGTCCGAAAGGTCTATATGACTAAATACTAATGCATTGCTAATTTTTACAAAAATATCCTCTGGAAGCGGTAGTGGATACTTGTAAGATTCAAGCGCGTCGTTAAGACCAGTTGAGAAATCAGCGCAAATACGAATGCTACCATTTGGCTTTTTGATAACTACGATTGTTGCGGCCCAGTCAGAGTAATTGATGGGTGCGATAATGTCGAGATCTTGAAGTCGCTTAATTTCTTCTTCAACCAAATGTTGAACTGCGTATGCTACCGGGCGCTTAGGTCGAAAAACAGGTTGACAGTTTAGTTTAATAATTAAATGTGCCTTAGTTTTATTACAAAGACCCATAGCATTATCGAAAAGTTCTGGAAATAATTTTTCCGGAAGAAATTTGCAATTTGAAGATTTTATGGAAACATTACTTCCCTGTTTTGTTGTTGAAATTTGGCTGCAAATAGCATTAAGCGTCATATCGCTAAGTTGAAAAGCAGTTATCCAGTCCAATCCGAATACGTTCAAATCGATCGTTGTAACGAAGCACGTAAGTGTTCTAATTGTGTCTTTTAACTGAACATCACATGTAAATTTTGCGTACAATGGTAAGTTTCCAGTTGCACTTTTAGCAGATTCTGGTTGTACTTCCATTGTATTTAAAATATTTAATTTGTCGAAATTAAATTTTGAAATGATAGTTACGTCCGATGCAGTATCAAATTGCAATTTGATTCGCACATTGTTGATTTTAACGTGGACATGTAATGCAAAAAAAAATATTCTCGTCGCCACTGTTATATCTGTATAATTTCGATATTTATTTATACAAAAAACTCCTAGTTATTATTATTTCACAAGTTCCAAATAACTGACAAAATTAAAATGTTAATTCTTCTTTATATGTCATCTGTCATCCTTGGCAGAGTTGCCAACAATTACATTGAAAGAGAGATTCTTAGAAGAATATCCAAAGGTAATTATAAAATTATTTCAAGAAAAAACATAAATTATCAGTTTGATTACTTAGCGCGAGCTTTAATGCCAAAGTGGATATTCTTCCGAAATATTTAGAGCTGTTGTGAAAAAGGATAATTCGACCATAAAAAAATGTAAATTCCCTCACCAAATGAAGAAACTCGTTTATTCTCAAAATTCATTCGCCTAAAATTAACTTGACCCGCTGCATTAATTTGCGTAAAATATCGGGAACTTCTGGTGCAGAAGTTAAAAGCGTTTGTATAGAAGCTGGTATGTACGCATTGCGTAAGCGTTGTGCGCATGTTACTCAAGAAGATTTTGAAATGACTGTCGCTAAAGTTATGCAGAAGGATTCAGATAAGAACATGTCCATTAAGAAATTATGGAACTAAATTTTAAAACTTTTATAAATTTATACATCGAGTATTATGAAATGATTATTGATTCGTAATTGAATTATCATTTCTTGGATCTTCACAATTAAAAATTTAAAACTTAGAATAACATTTACGTTTTTTGTATTTGCTAATTTATTGTGAGAAACGCATAATTAATTTTTTTTGCTATTAAAAGCGGATTGAAAGCGTTGTGTATTCGATTAAGTGTTGGTTTCTAATATTTTTGTTTTATTACCATATATTTTATTACAGTTGTATATGATTTTAGTTTATATAAAAAATGTTTTGTCTTAAATATTTTTTCAAAACCTCTTGAGTTGCGTTTTCAAAATACACAATTTTGTAACATGTCACATTAAAAATGTGTGGGATTATTGACTTTGTCTTGGACTTCATAATCAACTAACCATTGCCACTAAAAACTTTAGTGGAAGTTTTGCCCTTCGCAAGAAAAAGCATGTCTTGTTTTCCAATAAATCAAGACATGCTGTAGACCAAAAAAATAATCAATGTATTTTACAAACAAATAATTAAGAGCCACTGGTGCAAAGAGTAGTACCAATATTTTCCAAACAAATAATATCGTTAAGATAAAAATTCAGTATTTTACAGGCCACCAGTCCTAATGATACACTTATTTTGAAGTGATTTAGGCTACCATCATTTAGAGTTATTGTCACAAAATAAATTTAAATCTGGCCAGGTTTATATATAAAATATTCAGAAAATAATTGTGTTGAATGAATCAAATTTTATTTTATTTATTAATGTATTACTAAAACCGTATTTACAATCATTACAAGATCTGAATTAAAAGATAAGTTAAAAATTGTATTTGTTATGATGACACCACCATACGAATATCATTATTGTCAGTAACATCTCAACACGTTTGATCATTTGTATCAATAAGTGTACTATTTGCATTATATGATAGTAAGGACGTACATAATCAATGTGGCGACAACTAACAGCATAATGTAACGCAGTCTCTAAGATTGGCTTCTTTGACAAAATTAAAAACATCATTTTCATGTTCAGCTTTTTGTACTACATCATTTGGCGATAGCTCAGTGAAATAAACTACCCAACTAAAGTCAGGTTCACATTTCTGTGCATTTTTTAACTTTGGCTGCCAAAGTAGATCAAGTTGTTTTACCTTTTCATTATATAAATTGTTTACAAATAATGTTAACCACAAACAAAATTATTCAAGTGTCAAAACTTACCAAAACAATATTGCCAAGTCAATGAAAAAAAGTTAAATTATTTTTTTGGAAACAGCCACTATAATAAAATTTTGTCAAATAAATATTTATAATATTTAATAAAAGTAATAAAAATTTTAGAAAATACAGATATTTACAAAATTTATTGCAAGTGCTTATCAAATAATGAAAAATATATGGAAAAAGTGATCACTTTTCGGTTAAAAGTTTTCTAATAACGATGATTAATTTTTTTAATACAAATAAAACAAAACGTTTTAATAAAATTATTTTTTATTGTAATTTTCTGTATTCATATATTCATATAAATTCACATATGAAAATATTATCTTATGAAACTACTAAAATGGCAGTCCTGGCGGTTTAGTCTCGACTTAACCACCTCGAAAATATGTTAAGTATCGACACATCACTACATTAGGCGTTTTCTTTTGTAAGCAAATCACAAAAGAACAACCGCTTATTTTAAAAATAACATATGAAACAACAACACTGCTCGCTTATTTAGTTCAACCTTTTTAAAACCGCTTAACTAATAAGCTGCTTAAATTGCATGGTTGCCAAGACTAAAAACTCGTCTATTGGGAATTTCCAGTCCACTGTCAACGAATGATATCGTTCATTTTTCGTATTTTAAGTTATCATTGTTTGTTACAAATACATTATTTTTTTTATATATTATTTTACTGTTAAAATGCATGAAAATTCATATTTTAATCATAATGTAAAAAGAAAAATGTTCTTACAAATAATTGCAATGAATTATTATTCATTTCTGAAATTTTAACTTTAAATTTTATTACGCGTTAAGTAAGCCTAATTTTCCGTTTTGTCCAGAGTTGCCATCGAAAGTATTACTTATTTTATTTGTTCTTTCCCGACATGCGTACAAAAGAAAGGCCTATTATCGACACAACTTAGAATTTCACTCATTTAGAACGCAACTTAGCCCAACTCGCACACGACCAAAGTATTGCCAAACACGCATTATCAGCGGTCTTGGAATTATTTCTTGTATTTAATTATTTGGAAATAATTGATTTTGAGACTATAAGTACCAAAAATAATTTTTAGGTATTTCGAAAGGTTTTAAAGTTTAGGCTGTTAAAAATGGAAGTTTTTCATGTTATAGACGAAAATTTTTTTATACTATATAATTTATACGATAACAGTTTTGTTGGGTTGTACTCAAAATATTATATTTTTAGTTTTATATTACAAAAACAAATTGTCAAAATAGACTCATTGAGTCTCATGCACTTTTAATAAAATAAAAATGCCAGTTTCTCGTTTACTCTGACGAAAGAAGGTTGAATTAACATAAAAGAAACATAACGTTTTATAGTTACTATCCGGTATCCGTTACGATTTTCGCATGTGCTCTGTGTGTTAATAGAATCACGTTGTTTTCGATATTCTTAAGGTAATTGGTACTTTGCTATCTTGCTGCTACATCTGCTGTTAACTGCGACGCTTTGTTTCTCGGTTTAGTTCTCGCTGCGCTGTCTTGCTGCTACATCTGCTGTCAACTGCGACGCTTTGTTTCTCGCTTTAGTTCTCGCTGCGCTGTCTTGAAGCTACATCTGCTGTCAATTGCCACGCTTTGCTGTTTTTCGGTTTCACATATTTTTATAAAATTTGTGCATCTTTTGCTTCGCTACTTTTGGTTCTGGTCGCTGCTGTGCTGCTGCGTTCGATTCATTTCAGTGCAATTATTGATGCGTTTTGTTTTCTAGGGTTTCGATATGTCAATTGTTCACAATATTTTGATTTTTGCATCTACGGCAATTTAATTGGATTCTATTATGGCTACTGAACTTAAACAGCAACGTGCTAACACGAAGAAGAATATAACACGGATCAGGAGTATCATAGAACGAAATGCAAAATCAGACACAACGGTTTTATCGCCTATTGAACTAAAATGCCGTTTAGGTATTTTGGAATCGTATTTTACGCAGCTAATGAGCTACCAAATTCGAATTGAAGAATTGGATCCCGAAGACAATATGAGAGGCGAGCTTAAGGATCTATATGTCAACATCAAAACATCTATTCAAGAGCAACTAGGTGAGGATTTGCATATGTCGTTACGAGATCACACGTTTTCACCTGTCTCATCAATTACGAGATTGCCACTGTTAAAATTGCCGTCGTTTAGTGGAACATACTCTGAATATAAATATTTTATTTCGTCTTTTAATCAAATCATTGACAGAGAAGTTGATTTGTCAAATATTGAAAAATTTGATTATATGTTAAACTGTTTACATGGACAAGCATTGGCTTTTCAAGTTAGTAACGAAAATTATCCAAAGGCACTTCAAAGATTGAAATCCCGCTATGATAATAGCAGCTTAATTTTTATGGCAAATATTGCTTCACTGTTTGAATTGCCACATACATCAAGGCAAAGTTGTAGTCAACTTAGAAGCCTGGTTGACAATGTGTCTGCAATCTACGATTCGCTGCGCTTAATTGGCTCCGACAAGCAAATTTCAAATGCAATGCTAATTTACTTGGCAATGCAAAAGGTGGATGATGGTTCAAAAAATAAGTGGATGGAATCTCTTGACTTTAATTCTTTGCCTTTATGGGAAGACTGCGCTAAGGTTCTGGAAACACTCTGCCAATTTCTTGAATCGATTGAAACGCCACTGTTAAGTTTAACAAACCTAACATATTTTAGCTCGCTTGTAATCACGCTTATGCAGCAAATAAATATTGTAAATATTTACGTTTATAAGTTCAATAACTTCACATATTGTATTTATGCTTATGCAGCAATATGTGAAATTTTAATTATTATTTTAGTCACCAATAATTGTAATTATTATTATGCTTAGTAAGTAATTTTATACTATATAAGGAAACAATATTAATAATAAAGATTGAAAGCGAAAACAATCGTCTTTACTTCACAATCAAAAATTGGTTATTGGTAGATGTGCCTTTTAACCACTGTAGAAACAAAATAAAAATTATTTACTTACTTGGCTAGCGGTTTATGTGCCTGCAAGCCTTTCATCTTAACTACCTGATTATTGGTTTATGTGCCTAATAGTCAGTGTAACAAAGTAAGCAAATATAGACATTGATACCACCTCAGATTACGTGGTATTCATTGGTGACCCCGACGTGATTGGCAAGAGCAACTCAGTGTGAGCCAGCAGCGTTTACAAAAAACCTTCATTGAAAACAACTTGTTTCAACGGAAATACAATAACCATGGATCCAAAATCAATATCCACTTTAACTGACCAGCAGGATTCAATTGGTTCAGAGATCGACAGAATCATTCGCAACTTCAAGAAGGACTCACCCAGCAGGAAAACACGTCAATATCTCGAAGATCGTAAAACAACTTTAGAACAGTTATTAGCTGACTTCAAGGCTAATGATGAGCAACTACAACAAGCCGATGTACTAGCAAGAACATCGGACTATTTCACACAAGATTACGGCATGGTAATCATAAATTTGGGTAACAAATATATCACCACAATAACTCAAGAGCTGGAAGCATTACTCATTAAGGCTCAACCATCAACAATAAAGGGGTTGGACCTTCAGATAAATAATGATGTTGAAGCTCCTGAAATAGTATTACCTACTGGTGGTCAAGAGAATGAAATTAATCAGGCATTAGTCAACAGACGAAATGCAGTGTGTAAATCAATCAATCGTCTCATCCACAATGTGAGACAAGATAACCAGCAACAGGTACCACAATATTTTGCAGTAAAATTAGCTACGCTTACCAAGTTATGGGATCAGGCTGAAGGTTTAAATTTTACTATTCAGGAACGGCAAGACAACCCTCCTGATTGCAATCATTATCTAGCACTTGAACAATTGGTGCAAGATACAATGGTGGAATGGACTAGTAAGTCGACCAAGATTGAGACATCAATTAGGTCAACTTATCAATCATCGGCTACTTTGCCAACAATATCTCTTCCAAAGTTCAGTGGAGATTATTTGAGTTGGCGACAATTCAGTGATCTGTTTGCACAACTAATACACAATCAAAGAATATCAGACTCACAGAAACTCTGGTATTTGAAAACCAATATTCAAGGCGAAGCTGAAGCACTCATCAAGCATTTGCAAATATCAGATGCAAATTATGAGACGGCATGGCAATTACTACAAAGTAGATATGAGAATAAAAGAGTTCTAGTATCAGCAGTTTTGCAACGTTTGACAGCTCAAAACTCTTTATATGACCATCCAACAGTCCAAGCCATTAAAAATATGCATGACACAACAAAGGAAAGTCTATGTGAACTTCATAATTTAAATATTGAAACATCAACTTGGGATCCAATTTTAGTTCACATACTATTAAAAAAATTGGATAAAAATACACATTGCAGTTTTGAACAAACTCTTACCAACCCAAAGGAGATGCCCACAATAAAACAATTCTTAGAATTTTTAGAATTGAGATTTCAGTCACTTGAGGCTATAGGTCTACGAGACAATGCAGTATATAAACCCAACAAAAGGATAGCCGTAACTATGGTTTGTTCAGATCTATGTAAAGTTTGTAATACAGATAAACATCCGATCTACTATTGCAAAAAGTTCATTGAAATGACTCCTCCTGAACGATTAAATTGGATTCAACGACAAAAACTATGTGTGAATTGTTTCAAATCCGATCATAAAGCAAAGGTTTGTGAAGCTGGATCATGTAAAAAATGTGCCAAGAAGCATAACACTTTGCTCCATTTAGAGCAACAGTCACCTAAACCTTCAAGGGCACCAGCAACAAACACAAAGTCAACCACAACATTGATCAACGCTAATGAATCGCCATCCATAACAGCAACAACTAATGCAAAGTGTACTCGTAATTACGTTCTGCTAGCCACTGCAAAAGTGCGCATTATTGCAAACAATGGACGAACGTGTGATGTTCGTGCCATACTCGACTCAGGGTCTCAAGTGAATCTAGTAACCCAAAGAGTAATCAACAAGTTATCTTTAATTACCACAAATTCAAATCTATCGATCGAAGGTATTGGCCGTCAATTCGGGAACTCAAAATCTCGCGTAAATGTTGAACTGCAGGCTACTAATGGAAGCTTCAGGACGAGACTAGAGGCATTTGTATTGCCACAAATAATATCAGCACAACCGTCACGAGACCTAGATATCTCGGATTGGCAGATCCCACAGAATGTAGAATTAGCAGACCCCAGCTTTAACAGATCTGGAAGAATTGACATGCTGATTGGTGCTGAATTCTATCATACTCTACTTCAACCAGAACAATTGATAATAGGAAAGAATTCGCTACTGTTACAAAATTCGGTTCTAGGTTGGTTGGTGGTTGGTAAGACTAAAACTACAACAGATATTAAACCAACATGCGCTATTACTACAGGAGAAGTTGGTGACATGTCAGAAATGATAGAACGATTTTGGAAATTAGATAACATTGAGACTGCAGAAAGGGTTTTGACTTTATCTGAGAAATGGTGTGAAAATCACTTTACAAATCATGTAAAGACAAATCACGATGGTCGTTTCATTGTACGCTTACCTTTCCGCGATGATCCCACGACACTTGGTAGATCGCGTGAGATAGCATTCAATCGATTTTGTTCTCTGGAAAGGAAGTTACAAAGGGACCCACATTTATACAAGGAGTACATTAAGTTCATGGATGACTACGAGTCATTAGGTCACATGGAAAAGGTTTGCCCGAAAGATGTCAAAGGAGCACAATATTTCATTCCTCATCATTGTGTCTTGAAACCTGACAGCACTACAACCAAATTGAGAGTTGTCTTTGATGCATCAGCAAAAACATCAAGCGGTTTAGCACTAAACGATATTTTGCACAAAGGTCCAACAGTGCAAAGTGATCTTTTTTCAATACTGTTGCGTTTTAGAATACACCGGTTTGTATTTACGGCCGATATTGAGAAAATGTACCGGCAAATTCAAGTACATGATGAAGATACAGCACAGCAGCTGATAATCTGGAGAAAAAGTGCTGATGATAGTATACAATATTACCGACTGAAAACGGTTACATATGGAACAAAGTCAGCCCCTTATCTTGCAACAAAATGTCTTCAACACCTTGCGAAACATAATATGACCAACTATCCGCTTGGAGCACCTGCATTACTTAATGATTTTTATGTAGATGACTGTTTAAGCGGAACTAACAGCATCATTACCGCCTTAGACACTCAACAACAACTTTCGGAACTGCTCAGTAAATCAGGATTTAAACTGAGAAAATGGTGCTCAAATAATACACGACTACTACAAAACATTCCGATAGAAGACCAAGAAATCAACCTTGATTTAGATGACTCAGCCATAAAGCCAACAAAAACATTAGGCATTATTTGGCTCCCGAAATCAGACGAATTTTGCGGAAAGGCAGAGATGTCATCAGAGCAACCTATCACGAAGCGGATTGTGGCATCGGACTTAGCTCGAATTTTTGATCCTTTGGGAATTTTTGGCCCCATTACTGTAACAGCTAAAATATTCATGCAGGAATTGTGGCAACAAAACTATTCCTGGGATGCGGAACTGTTACCTCAGGCTCAGCTAGAATGGAAGCGGTTTAGAACTGACTTACAAACATTAAATACTGTGAAAGTACCCAGACATATTTTTAATTCGAAGGTTCCCTGTTCGATTCAATTACACGTGTTTACGAATGCATCAGAGAAGGCATATGGAGCAGCTATGTACGTGCGAGCAATATATAATGATAAGACAATAACATCGAGACTATTGTGCGCCAAATCTAGAATAGCACCATTAAAGAAACAGACACTTCCACGACTAGAACTCTGCGCAGCATTGCTGGGAGTCGAATTAGCAGAAAGAGTTAAACAAGATTTAAAGTATCAAAACGTGCCAACCTACTTTTGGTCCGATTCCAAAATTGTTTTGTCATGGATAATATCTTCATCTGCCTCATTGCACACATTCGTAGCAAATCGTATTAGCAAAATTCAAGAGATGTCACATGCTGATCAATGGCATCATGTGGCATCAAAGGATAATCCTGCTGACATCATTTCCAGAGGAATAAAGGTTAAAATGTTCAATTATTCACATATATGGTTTTTTGGTCCACTCTTTCTTCATGGAAGCAACGAATTTTGGCAACAGCCAAACCCAAAGGCATTTAACATCTCAACTGATATCGAAAGACGACAAGGACATACAGTTAACATTATCATTCAAACGACTAGTTCTGATCACATGATAAATCAAATTGATCATCGAAACTCATTCAGATACCTCCAAAGAACAATTGCTTATGTTCGCCGTGTATTTCATCGCACACAATCACCAACAAAAACACTTTCTCCAAAGGAATTACGAGATGCATTAGTCTTCATAATTAAAACTATTCAGGGCTCAGAATTTGCAAAGGAAATCTCTGACTTAAAACAATGTAAAGCAATCAACAGTTCGAGTCAACTAAATACTTTAGCACCGTTCATTGACGAACAAGGTGTACTTCGTGTTGGAGGAAGGCTTGAAGCATCAACATTGCCATATGATGCTAAACACCCAATGGTAATTCCTTACAATCACTCAATAGTGAAATTGATGTTCAAAATGAAACATGAAGAAAATTCCCATTGTGCTCCACAATTATTGCTAAGCATAATGAGACAAAACTTCTGGCCGATTAAAGGAAAGATTATGGCGCGAAACATTGTTCACAGCTGTGTCATCTGTTCAAAGGCAAAACCAAAACTGATGGACCAACTCATGGGCAACTTACCGACTGATCGAGTTACTCTGACTAAACCATTTTTTACCACAGGAGTTGATTACTGTGGTCCGATATGGATTCATTATAAAATTAGAGGAAAAAGGCCAACAAAGGCATATTTAGCAGTATTTTGCTGTTTCGCGACTAAGGCTGTTCACCTAGAAGTGGTGAGTGACCTGACAACAGAGGCATTCATAGCCGCTATTCAACGTTTTATCAGCAGAAGAGGAAGATGCCAAACAATTTATAGTGACAATGCGACTAACTTTGTTGGGGCGAGAAACCAACTACAAGAGCTCCAGTCTACCATTTATTCAGAAAATGGAAAAGAAAAGATCATTAAGACCAGTAGTAACAAGGGAATTGACTTCAAATTCATTCCACCAAGAGCTCCTCATTTTGGAGGACTCTGGGAAGCTGCCGTCAAGTCAGCTAAACATTTAATGATTAAAGGAATTTTCAACGCTTCATTGACTTATGAAGAATTGACAACAGTCATAACTGAAATAGAAGCCATGTTAAATTCAAGGCCAATAACAAAAATGTCATCCGATCCAAATGATCTAACAGCGCTTACACCAGGACACTTTCTCATAGGCGAACCACCTACCACTAATGTAGATCCTTATCAAAAGGAGAGCCGAATGAGTTTATCATCACGATGGCGTTTAGTTTCTGAACTCAAACAAGAATTCTGGAGAAGATGGTCAAAGGAATATCTCAATGAACTCCAATCAAGGTACAAATGGAAACAACAAAAGGCAAATCTATGCCAAGGTGATTTAGTCATTATTAAAGATGATAATCTACCCATGTACAAATGGCCTCTTGGCAGGGTGCAACAGGTGTATGAAGGAGAAGATGGTTTGGTCCGTGTAGCTGACATAAAAACAGCCAATGGGATTTTTAAACGACCATTACGATCATTGGCCCCCTTACCCACTGAAGGCAGCATTAATCAAAATTCAACAAAACAAAATTCTACTGTCACACAAACAAGACGAACGAATGAACCTAGTGAAGCGTTGCCAAAGCGTCGAAAGATATATGATGGCACATCTTTAATGATGACCATACTTGGTCAAACACCAAACGTCTACAATTCAGACACATCAAACGCTTACCGACACCATGTATGAATCTTACACTGCATTTAGTGAGATACCTGTCATCAATAACTCAGAATTATGGTCAAAGTTTAAAGGAAGTTCATTGAATCTCAGCAATGAACTTAAACAGTTAAAGCTACTTCACAATACTCTGAAAGATGAAAAATTCGCTGAATTACCACACAAACTACAGACGGACAGCATGCACCACTACGCAATTAATTCCATAACCCTAATTCTTGTCGTTGGAGCCATCATATGGATGATATGGAAAATAAAGCAGGTAAAGCATCCAGAAGTCAATCAGCCAACACAAACTCTCACACCAAACGCGATGCCACGAACAAGATTTACTTTGGAGCCTGAAACAATTACATAGCTTCTCAAATTCTCATGATGCTATAAACTCTAAATTTTATAATATTGTATAACTATTTATTGTTTAAAAATTATATATGTATTTATATATCCACAAAATGTTGTAATTATTTTTTTTTATTTTTTTTTGATATTTTAAAAAAAAGCACACATAATGCATTGCAAATCAAATTAATCATTGCTCATAGATTCATTCTTGAATAACGTAATTCAAGCCGGGCAGAATGTTAAGTTTAACAAACCTAACATATTTTAGCTCGCTTGTAATCACGCTTATGCAGCAAATAAATATTGTAAATATTTACGTTTATAAGTTCAATAACTTCACATATTGTATTTATGCTTATGCAGCAATATGTGAAATTTTAATTATTATTTTAGTCACCAATAATTGTAATTATTAATATGCTTAGTAAGTAATTTTATACTATATAAGGAAACAATATTAATAATAAAGTTTGAAAGCGAAAACAATCGTCTTTACTTCACAATCAAAAATTGGTTATTGGTAGATGTGCCTTTTAACCACTGTAGAAACAAAATAAAAATTATTTACTTACTTGGCTAGCGGTTTATGTGCCTGCAAGCCTTTCATCTTAACTACCTGATTATTGGTTTATGTGCCTAATAGTCAGTGTAACAAAGTAAGCAAATATAGACATTGATACCACCTCAGATTACGTGGTATTCAGCCACTTCGGTCTCAAGACACTATTCGTAGGAATGACAAGTTTTCTAAAAAGATCGATAAGCATCAATCTCGTCAAAATTGCTCATTTGTTTGTACTAAACGCACTTGTCCGTTGTGTGACACTACTGATCACATCATTACTGGTTGTCAGCGCTTTATGTCTGTTCCGGATCGTTTCGAAAATGTGAAAAGACTTTCTGTCTGCATAAACTGCTTATCCAAAAATCATAAAGTTACTCAGTGTACATCTACTTTCAAATGCAAGATTTGTTTACGGTCTCATCATACAATGCTTCATCGAGCTCAAAATACATCAAGTACGTTTTCGTTATCGCCAGCACCTCAACCTACGGTTCAAACTACATCAGCTGTTGTTCATACTCATTTAGGAAATTCATCGCAAAATACAATTGTTATCGTCACAGCAATTGTGCTTTTCCGTGATAACACTGGTAACTATCGGTTAGGGAGAGCGCTCCTCGACTTCTGTTCACAGATTAATTTAGTATCTGAAGAATTTTCCCAAAAATTGAGATCACCGCGTGAAAGACATAACATACAAATCAGTAGTATTGGTGACACAAATACAAGGATAAAACATGAAACCTCAACTAAATTAAAATCTCGCTTCGCTGATTTCGAAATTCCACTTGATTTTTGCATCACTTCTCATATTTCGTACCAGCCTCTATCACAAATTGATATTTCTTCTTGGAACCAGCAAACACTAAGCTTGCAGATGAAAATTTCTATAAATCAAATCGTATCGACCTATTATTATGTAGGAGCAGAGACATTCTTCAATATACTTTGCGTAGGACAAATCAAACTTAAAGATAACTTACCTACGCTTCAAAAAACATTGATTGGTTGGGTTTGTCCAATTTGGACGTAATAATGATTTGTAATAATTTGGACATAATAATGATGATAGATAATCGAAACCTCTTATTTTAATTTAATTATTTGTTTTGTTGTGAAAGCGAATTTTTATGCTTATAATGTTAATGACTTGATGTCTTAGCCTTGAACGGTGGGTTAAGATATCAACATTTATCAAAAACAACAACAACAGTTGTATATCACGAGCACACTTTGCTCGGCATATGAAACTGCAGATAAGCCATGCATTTGGCATGTGCAATATTTTAATGCAAACATTATGAGAAATGAAAATTCGTTTGTGCAAAGTCAGTATTATAATTATTAAAATAATAATTATGTTTGTAAAGCAAGCTGGTATTTGGACTTAGTTCAAGGTTAAAAGAAAATAAGTTTGTCAGCATATACCAGGTTGCTAAGGAAATTACGCAAGTAATATTTCTTATTTGTTATTCGTGAATGCATACAATTTCCATGAGAACTGTGACCGTTCCCACGACTAAGCTGAGCGACTAAGCGCTTCTTTAATGCAGCTTAAGCTATAAGGCATTATCGTGGGAATTGTATGTATTGACACCTTGCCAAATTTCTATAAAAGCACAACATTTTCTAATAAACATTCATTCAATACCAAACATTCCTTGAGTTTTAATTAGTTCAAGTGCTCATTAAACCTTAAACGCAAATAGGTACAAGTGCCTAGTTGCTCAAAAATATTATTTGAATTCACCTGAAGTTGGTTCAAGTGCCAGATTCCTAAACATAAGCAACACTGAATCGATTCAAGTCTCGATTCAGTTTCAATAAGAAACGACTTATTGAACATTTTTGGTGACCCCGACGTGATCCACCGTGAGGACCACGTTATCATCAATCGAGTGAACCTGCTCAGAAGGACCACGTCATCATCAATCAAGTGAACCTGCTCAGAAGGGTGTTATCGCTGTATTTACAAGCATGGAAGTCATGGCAAAATTGGTTGACAAACAATCAGAATTGGGAAAACAAATCCAACAACTGGTCACTAACTTTAAAAAGGATTCAAAAGAGAGGAAGACATCCCCTCGCTATTATGAAGAGCGTATTAGGCGACTCAACGAATTATGGGAACAATTTGATCATAACGACACACAAATCAGGAATTTGCCAGATTTGGATACGAGCGTTTCATACTTTACCAACAACTACTTTCAGGAAATCAAGGAATTATTTGTAAAATATGAGCAGATTTTCGAAAATGAATTGTCAACCAAAATACCTCCAACACCTTCCTCAAAGGAGTCAACAACGACAGCACGTCAACCGATGCCGTCACCGAGGGAAGGACAATATAGCACGAGTATAACACGAATGATACACAAGCAAGGTGCAATTTGTGTATCACTGAAGCGACTCATAGCAGGCATCAATCGTCAAACAGGCGTTCAGATGAAATCCTTTTATGAAGTGAATATGGCAAGCATTGAGAAGCTATGGAATGAGACTGAAGCCATTAATTTTGAAATTTGGGAGTACACCAACAATCCGACTACAGTGGGATATAAACTCGATGAGTATCTCGAAATAGAAGAATTGGCTCAGTCAACTTTAATTTCGTTAGCTTCAATGAAAGCAAATAATAAACAATTACAACAAGGAATCAGTACACCAGACAGCGCTAACGCTCAGAAAATGTGGTATCTCTAAGGTAGTTTAACAGGAGAAGCAGAAGGTTTAGTCCGACACCTGTCAATAACCAAGGAGAATTATCAAACGGCATGGAACTTGCTACAAGAACGATATCACAATAAAAGAATTATTGTAGCAACAATCATTCAAAGAATTCTAAATCAACCAATAATATCAACCAATCCTTCAGCGACAGAAATAAGGACACTCCATGATGTTACTTTTGAAGAATTGCTGGCACTGAAGAATGTGGGACTCGAAACTGATTCATGGTCGCCGTTACTGCTTCATAGTTTGCTCCTCAAACTAGATAACCAGACTCGCATTTTGTATGAACAGTCGCTGACTCATCCAAGAGATATTCATTCGATTAAGGAGTTCATGATTTTCCTGGAATCAAGATTCCAGTCCTTAGAGGCGATTGGTCATAGGGAGAAGCCATGCTCAGCAAAAACCCTTGCCACAACTATGGGAAAGGCAAATATATCAACCTGTAAGATCTGTAATAATGGATCACATCCGATAAATTATTGCAAAACATTCTTGCAATCAACACCACAATGTCGTATCAAGACAGTACAAAAACTTAGACTGTGCTTGAACTGCTTACGTACAGGCCATAGGGCAGCAGAATGCAAAAGTTCCCGCTGCAACAAGTGCAGCAAGAACCACAATTCGTTATTGCACTTATCAGAGTCTTTCAAGACAACACACAAACCGATCAATGTCAATGTTCTACTGTGTCTGGACACTTCTGGTTGGTCAATTCCTCAGAATATAAAATTGGCTGATCCAGACTTCGCGAATCCAAATCAAATTGACCTATTAATTGGAGCAGAATTCTATCACAGCTTGTTATCGATTGGTCAAATCAAAATAGGTGAGGGTCTACCTACACTTCAGAACACGATTTTCGGATGGATATGCAGTGGCAAGGTTAGCAACGGTAATCAAAAATTACTTACCTGTGGCATGTGCAGCGAAACTGACGACGAAGTATTGGATAATATACTTACTAAATTCTGGCAATTGGAAGAAATCAATCAAACGGATGACAAATTCACTCATGCAGAAAAGAAATGTAAAGAATCTTTTGCTCAAATTACTCACCACAATCATGAAGGGCGATTTGTCGTGAAACTACCATTTAAGGAGGATACAACTGTTCTTGGTGAATCCATGCAGATGTCGATGAATCGGTTTTTTAGCCATGAACGTCGGCTGTTGAAGAATTCTGAACTAAAGAAGATGTACGTTGACTTCATGCGAGAGTACGAACATCTCGGCCACATGGAAAAAATCAATCAGGATGATATAATGCATCCACATTACATTTTGCCACATTATTGTGTAATCAAGGCAGATAGTACTACAACAAAGCTTCGAGTGGTGTTTGATGCATCTGCAAAAACATCAACCGGAGTCTTACTCAATGATATAATGCATAATGGTCCAGTTGTGCAGAACGAACTCTTATCCATTTTTCTGCGTTTCAGAAAACCACGCTTCGTTTTTACAACAGATATTCAAAAGATGTATCGGCAGATACTAATTGATCCAAGAGATGAATATCTTCAAATCATTATCTGGCGAGAGTCACCAGAAGAAAACTTGTGCTATTACAAATTAAAAACGGTAACGTATGGCACAAGAGCAACGCCGTATCTGGCAACTAAGTGTCTACATACCCTGGCCAGAGAGCATACCGTTAAATTTCCTCTCGGTTCCGCTACACTCAGCAAGCATTTTTATGGCAATGACGGTATAAGTGGCTCAGACAGTCTCATGGAGACAATTGCAACAAAGGATCAACTTATTAAAATATTGGCGACAGCTGGTTTCAAACCTCGCAAGTGGTGCGCAAATAATGCCCAATTACTTCAAGGACTCACTCCAGAAGATCAAGAAGTGGATCTCAATGTCATCAGTGAGTCACATAAGACAGTAAAAACTCTAGGCCTTATCTGGCTACCAAAATCTGATCAATTTTTAATAAAAACTAACGGACCTACACACAGCAAAATAATAAAGAGGACCGTAAGTTCCGAGTTGGCGCACATTTTTAATCTACTTGGATTAATGGCTCCCGTAGTAGTGAAGGCGAAAATATTTGTTCAAAAATTGTGGCAGTTAAAACTTTCCTGGGATGAAGCTCTGCCTGCTGAAATGCATACTCAATGGACCCATTTTCGACAGAGCTTATGTGAAGTAAACAATGTAAAGATAAATGCGGTTATTTTTGTTTTTTAAAATATACTAACTTTTATTTCGAAAGTAATTTTGTGTATCTCTACACGTGTTTCGGCAAATTCGCTTTTGCCTTCATCAGGAGAATTCCTAATATTAAAATATCTAGCAATCTTACAAACTATTTGTACCATTAACATGTTATTTTTAATACTAAACTTAATATTAATAAAACCTAAGGTTATTGTCCTTGGGGGTGACAGGTAAGAAATGGTGGCGGGGTTGGTCTGGTGTTGTTTTTATTTTTACATACAGTTAGGTCGACTGGTTGTCGGTTTTTTGGGATGTATCTAAAAAGGCACGATGACACGTTGACACGATACACAAAATTACTTTCGAAATAAAAGTTAGTATATTTTAAAAAACAAAAATAACCGCATTTAAACAATTTCGAAGTAACGACTCAAAAATTAAAACAAAAATAAATGTAAAGATTCCACGACATATATTTCATCATAAACAACCAAGGAATACTCAGATTCATGTATTTACTGATGCCTCCAAAAGAGCCTATGGAGCTGCCATTTACATCAGAGCCGAAATGACTGATCGAACTATCTCAGTTCAGTTACTTTGTTCAAAATCACGCGTCGCTCCACTAAAAACGCAGACAATACAAAGACTTGAGTTATGTGCGGCGTTACTAGGAGCACAATTGGTAGTAAAGGTAAGAAAGGATTCGGAATATGAACATCATCCGATATATATGTGGACTGATTCTGAGATAATATTGCATTGGATCAATTCAGAACCATCAACATTCCAAACTTTCGTTGCTCATCGTATCAGTAAGATTTAGCAATTAACACTAAAGGAACAGTGGAGGCATGTCAATACTAAACAAAATCCAGCTGATTTATTATCCAGAGGTGTAGATCCAATTTACATTCAGAAGAATGCAATGTGGTTTTATGGGCCACTTTTCCTTCATGGAAATCAAGAATGCTGGCCCCAACCATTCCGTCGGGAATTGATAACATCCGACCATATACAAGCGGAAGTCAAAGGAAGGTATATGTGCTTACAATTTCACATGATGAACTAATCAAATTGATTTATACGATAAGGCATAGAAACTCTTTCGTAAAGTTGCAACAAGTTCTTGGTTATGTGTTGAAATTCATCAAAGGGTTACGTAATAAGAGCAAGCACAACGACATCAATTTGACACCATTAAAACTGGATGAGTCATTACTCATAATTATAAAAACCATACAGCTAAGTGATTTCAATGAAAAACGGCATCAACTCTTAAAGAAAAGGGATCTGAAGGGAAGCAATAGTCTCCATGGACTTTCTTTCGATAGTGGCGTCATCAGGGTTGGAGGTCGATTGACGTCGTCACATCTTACCTACGATGCCAAATACCCCATGCTGCTGCCATATACCGATCCAATAGCCAAGCTCATCATGAAACATTTACATGAGAAGGGACTTCACTGCGGACCGCAAACATTATTAGCCCAGTGCAGGCAGCGATTTTGGCCAATAAAAGGCAAGATTATGGCTCGATCCATTGTGCAACATTGTGCAATGCACTCGAGTACGCCCACGCATGTTCAAACAAATCATGGGCAATCTACCAGCTGACAGAGTCCAAGCTCAAAGACCTTTTTTCAACGCAGGTGTGGACTTCTGTGGTCCCATATGGATACACCACAAAATTAGAGGCAAAAGACCATGCAAAGCGTACATCGCCGTGTTTTGCTGCTCCTCCACGAAGGCAGTGCATTTGGAAGTTGTTAGTGATCTCACCACAGATGCATTCTTAGGCGCTTTGAACCGGTTTACGTCAAGAAGAGGTCGATGTCAAAACTTATATTGTGACAACGCGACTAATTTTGTGGGCGCTAAAAATCAAATGAACGAGTTAGCTGAAAGCATTCACAGCACAAATGCTCAAAACAACATAATAAGATCCTGTTCAGCTCAAGGAATTGTTTTTCATTTTATACCTCCGAGAGCACCACGTTTCGGAGGATTATGGGAAGCTGCTGTCAAATCACCTAAATATCTATTGGTGCGAACTATTGGCAACGTGTCACTCACTTACGAGGAATTGGAAACAGTGGTAACCCAAATTGAAAGTATGCTAAACTCCAGACCAATAACACCGTTGTCATCAGACCCAAATGACCCGGCTGCCCTCACACCAGGACACTTCTTAATAGGAGAACCACTAACAGCCCTTCCAAGTAGGTCAGAAACTACAACCAAACAATCGCTTTTAACCAGGTGGAAGCTGGTGAATCATCTAAAAAACGAGTTCTGGTTAAGATGATCAAAGGAGTATCTTAAGGAGCTACAGTGTCGCACTAAATGGAAGGACCAATCACCTGACGTCAAGGAAGGAATGCTGGTAATCATTCAAGAAAATATCGCTCCTCCGCTTCAATGGCCTCTGGGCAGAATCATCAAATGCTATTCCGGTAATGATGGAAGTATCAGAGTTGTAGATGTCAAAACGAAAAACGGGATTTGGAAGCGTCCAATAAAAAACGAGCAAAACTCAACATCAACTTGCTAGCCATTGCATTGCTGGTATTATTATGGATACCACTGATATCAGGGTTAGGTATCACGATAAAATCATTTAATAACACACCAGGCATTCATTTCGAACACAAGGGAGTCATCAAAAGATCACAAGCAGAATGGAAAATCATTGCATATTATGACTTAAGTCCATTGCAGCAGGAGTTTGAATTCATTGAAAATGGAACCGAATCCTTAGCGAACGTGTGTAAGTTGATGAATGGATATAATCACTGCTGGACGTTAGTTGAGCAGTTCAAGGCAGCGAGAAATGAATTGTTATCTGCAAACATAATGCAGATTAACAAAAGAAAGAAGAGAGGCGCATTTGATTTAGTGGGTAACATTGCGAATGCAGTATTCGGCGTTTTGGACTCAGAATACGCTAAAAATATGGCGCAGACGATTCAACAACTAAAAAATGACGACAAGCATTTGCTTAACCTTCTAAAAAACCAAACTTCAATTTTAGATTCTACTCTAAATATCATGAAACGAAATCAGCAGCAGTATCAAACAACCTTTGAATTAACAGTCGAGCGATTGAACGATGTAAAGTCAAAAATGTTAGAAGAGGACAAGGAAATTTATAATTTAAAACTCCACCAACTTTTCACTGCGATTTCAACTCAACTACTAAGTGTAACAACAAGTATTCAATTTTACGAATCAGCAATTTTAGGAGTGTTGACCGACACAAATCATGGAAAAATCAGCCCACTTCTTCTGACGCCAAAGCAACTCATGAATGAGGTTACTACAATGAAGCAACATCTCAGGTCAACAATGCAGTTGCCGGTTAACATGAGCAACATTTCTGAGCTATATTCTCTTATGACAGTAAGCAGCGGTTTATTTGATACTAAAATGTTGTTCCAAATAACTCTACCACTAATCAATGATCAGTCCTTTGATTTATTCGTTGTTATTCCCGTTCCAGGGATCATAAACGGAGAATACGTGACAATCACACCATGCACGTCTATGATGGCATTCAATACTCATAGGAATGGATACTTTCCGATTTCAGAAATACAGTTGTCACAATGTGTGTCTTCAAAAAATGATGTATTCATCTGTTCAGATACGCAAGAAATATATTCTCTTGAATCAGGCAAGTGCACTTGCGAAGTAAATTTATTTAATAATAGTACATCATCTTGCACTTGGCAAAGTTTCACAAGTAATACCTTATGGTCCAGTGTGTTGCACAAAATCATTGGATGTTCGTCGCAAGAAACCCTGTAAAGCTGAACGCAGTATGTGACAATGAGCATTCTCAAGTGAAATTGCAAAATACAGGTTTACTTGAGCTCCCACCAGGGTGCATACTCTCACATCATACGGCAACAATAACCAGCCATTACACAATGACTACTCGCTTAAAATATTCTCACACAAGCTTCCATTCGAGCCCAATAGTGATAGCGATTCCTCGGCAACCATCTCTAAAGTTGGAAAACATCAGCATGAAAACAGCTAATGATGAAATAACTAATTTGAAGGCATCTTTAAATATGATAAGGTCTCAGGAAGAAATGCCGAACAATACACTATCACAGCACCAACACCATTTCATTGTCGAATATTTGGCACTTGGTCTCAGCGTGCTCATATTTTGCAGCATAATCGGTCGATATTTATTAAGAAAAAATAGACACCGTCACAGGCCTGGTACACCTCACCCACAACCACGGAGACGAGTTCAAGAGCAACATGCAGCATCCGAGGTCGAAGTAGCAGAATAAGATTGACTGGCATCAACCGGGGGCACAATGTCCAATTTGGACGTATTATTATTATTTAAAAATAGGCTATTTGTGCACCCCGACCTAAAAGATCTATTGTGCGCCTATAGGCCCAACTAGGACAATTTTAGACTATTTATAAATCTTATAATTGCAGTGGGCTTAATTTTACCTATTTGATTTGGGACCAGGATCCCGCTACCAAGGTAATCGAGTCTACGTCTTGCCACCGCTGGGCAGTTGCATAGAACATGTTCCGATGTTTCCTTCTCCTCATGACAGAGTCGACAGGAATCACTTTCTACCGCACCTATAATCTTCATGTGGTAATTAAGTCTACAGTGCCCTGTAAGAAGTTCAGTGTAGATTTTGATATCATTTCTGCTAAGGTTGATGATAGCATCAACTTTGATGTGTTCAGGATCAATGAATCTTTTTGACTGTCGCATGCCTGTTTGGGCTCTCCAGTGTTCAAGTAGATGCTGTTTCTCCCGTTCACATAATAAGTTGTTTGTGAAGCTATTCGTTACCCCGCAGAAGGGCTCTGGCCCAATGAAAGGAGTACATGCACCCTTCTTTGCTAATATGTCTGCTATTTCATTGCCCTCATGCCCCTCGTGTCCCGGTACCCACATAAGAGTAACATAGTTCCTCGATGCTAGGGTGTTGAGAAGTTGAAAGCATTCCCAAACCAGCTTTGATTGGAATAAGGATTTTGCT